GGGACGAACCCATTAAACAGCATCAGCCTAAACAGATGGTTTGCCTCCCACAACCTCCTCCTTATTGCCTTCCTACACCCTGTCTGCAGACTGTACTTACAGTAAGAGCTTATCAATATAGTGTAGGTAAACGTATCGGGCGGACACTTGAACCCTGGTAACTCCATCTGCTGCAACAAAGCTCTCGCCTTTTTGAAATTCCCGACCTTGCAGAGAGCGTAAATCATTGTGTTGTACGCATAAACATCAGGCTTACAGTGATACTGCTTCATCCGATAGAACAGAGCCAATGCCTGTTTCACCAGGCCTTCTTCTCCTAGGACTTTCATCAAACAGGTAACGGTCGGTGTGGTAACAAGACTTGTTTCACCACCATTTCCTCCTCTTCTGGCCATTTCTCTGAGAAATTCCCACAGCATGTCCACCCTATTCCCCCGCGCCAACACAACAGCCATGTCTCGACATGAAGATTCGGTATGCTGAAACCCTAAATTCGTCTCCACCCAACTGAAAAACTCCACAGCCTTGCTCACCCCCAAATTCACCCTCCTCGGATCCCTGTAAGCTCCAGGACCGAGAACTAGAACTCCGTCGCGACGGTTACAGTATTCCACCTCGAGATTGCGCTGTTTCATCGGCGAGCGGTGGCGGGTAGTGCTCTGCCTGCCGATGGAGCGAGGGGAGAGGAAAAAGAACCTGGGTATGGAGCGGAGAACGTCGGATACCAAATCCGCCGTCAAGAGGGCGCGGGAGGTGGTCGCTGAGGCGAGATGCTCGTCGAAGGGGCGGGCTTGGATCATCACTGACATTATCTGGTTCATTACCAGAGCAGCGCGATTGCTGTTTGCAGGCTTTGACGGCGGGGAGATCGTCATGTTCGGAGGCCAAATCTGAGAAGCAAATGCTTACATTCATGTGCAGTAATTATTAGTAGGATTGCTGGACGGGAGATGACGGCGGTGTACAATTTGTGCTTGCTCGCAGAGGTTGTGTGCTTGCGTTGATTCAAATGAAAGAATTGCTTGCCGCCATGGCGAGGGGAAGCGGGGAAGGGAAACGATGAACCAAGTTGAGTTGCAGCCGGAAAAGAGGTTTGTGGGCTGGAAGTTTGTGGGCCTTCAGGCTGGGTCGAATCAGGTAGCAATTTTGGGCCAACCATGTGAATAGATCCAACATGCAGAAGTTGGATTCGAATCAGAGCGGCCTAAGCCCAAATCCGAATATTTGATCGGCGAAGCAGTAGTTGGCGGGTTGACTTAGCCGCAGAAACCTAATTCAGATACTAATGACAATTTCGATCTAACTTGTTATATTTGAATATTTGATCTATTTAACCTGTTTTGGGCGGGTATTAACAATTAGACGGGATGAGCGGGTATGGATAATGTCCTCTATCTGATTCGTCTCATTCTCGATCCGTTATTGTCTAAATTATATATATTTTTACACAAATTAATTAGTATTTTACTTTTATTACATTATATTTTTAGCTATAATAAAGTTGTAAATAGACAAAACATTGTTAGTAAACGGTATATGATTCATGATTGAACATCTCCCAACAACTCGAGTTATTGGGATCAGGTGGTCCTTGAGATGGTACCAGATCCTTCTGTGACCGAGAAGTCTTCTGTTGGATTCCCGATGACCCTCGTTCGTTCTATTAAGCACATGGCGTATGAAGTTGTGCAAACTTCAAGCCCTATATGTGTGATTTTTCGTTTAAGAGAATGTATTAGTAAATGGTATATGATTCATGATTGAACTTTTTCCCAACAACTCGAGTTACTGGGATAAGTGGTTCTCGACAAAACATCAGTGGAAAAGTCAACTTCTGGCCACCAAAACGAAGAAAATGAAGACAATGAGATTTGACTTTTGAGCTACTTGTACGGTATCATATTTCAACGGTATAGTTAGTTAGGTTTGTGGTGGAGATCGAATAACCGTACCAGATTAGTCTGCGGTAGATAATTTACGTTATCTTGTTAATCTAGAGGGGATAGTTGGGTTCTTTTATTTTTTCGTGGGTGCGTCGAATCTTGCAGGCTGCCGCGAGCCATTAAAGTTGACTTCCCATAAACATTCCGCTGCAGAGATGAATATAACTAATTGAATTGGCACTAATAACGCCACTAACAGCGGTGTTTTGCGGGAAACAAGTGTTGATATATAATAATACCCCTGATCAATTAACAGTCAAGCATCATTACGTTTGCTCGACAAATGTAACATATGCCAAAAAACGATTGTAAAATAAGTTGTCACTTTGTGGGGAAATATTTGGAGATGAACTCATTCGTTTGTGATTACTAAGTCTAGACCAAACAATAATTTAGAAATCTCGAAGAATTATAATTATCATACCACGAAAGAAGTGGCATTTTATATGTTTTTAAGTTAAACATATACATTTGGTTCAATATTGTGTCTGATGAGAATAGACCTCACATGGTTCACGGTATTTTTTTATTTTTAAAGGACTACTATAACCTTATTTGAGAAGGTCTTATATATCCTCCAAGTAAGCATATTGAAGAAGCACCTTATTAGGGCAACGAGTTCGGGCTAGGCCTCACATGGTTCACGATATTTCTAAACGACTACTACTGCACCTTATTTGAGAAAGCCTTCTCTCCTCCAAGTAACGCAACACTATCATGGAATAATTATCTGTACAATCACATTCTAAACATATGAGATCGACGGAACGAGACTTATGTCTCGTCCTTATTTAGAGAAACTGTCACATATTTCGGAATTTGTAATTGAGCTTACTTGGCGTGCACCTGTAATGTACTACTCATATTTTTTTTAATGTTTAAAGGAAAACCTCCTAAAGTAAGTATTCGAAGAACCCATATTCATCCCAGCTACAACTTCCATTAACCTGCCAAACTCCATTGTTGGAGCTTAGCATACTGAAACAAAAACGACATTTTATATATATATAGCTTGCAACTCTATTTTGTTCACTTTCCACAGGTCGTCTCTAGCCATGATCCGTAGCCGTTACTCAAATATAGAACACGCCCCAAATTAACTACTATCAAGCGGACAACACATGTGGAAGTTTGAAAATACATATTTTTTTTTAGGCAAATCACTACCCTCGTTGGCTGTTGTTGCCAAAACCAGGACGACGTCGTTTGACTGCGTTCCGAAAAGTGGGCCCGATATCTCTCTCTCTCATTCGCAAAGGCCCATCAAAAGAGCCCAAAGCCGGCCCACTGTGCATCACCCAGAGGCCGCGGCGAAAACTGATCGTACGACGACGAAGAGTACGAGTAAGGCGACGCCGGCGAGTCCATAAACGGGGAAAGCGACCGCCGGCTCGACACCGACCACCGAGAGAACGACTCCAGATCGGAACCCGAATCATACCAACAGCTCTCCTCCTCCGCCACAGGGACAGTACTCATCCTCTTACTCTTGCTTTTCTTCCCCCGCCTTCTCAGCAACAATAGCTTGGGCAGATTGAAGAAGCACCCGGCTGAAGGGGCGACGAGCTCGGGCTGCTGTCCGGCCCGAACCCGATTGCTAGCAGGCCGATGATGATGATGGGCCGTTCCCCATCGCTCGGATTGGGCCCGGGGAGCGGATCGGAAGGAGCGGCCCGATCCGAGGTTTGGAGGCGGGGTGAGGAAGATGGACGAGGAGCGGCTGATTCTTGGGGAAGAATGGGCGGAGCGGGAGGTGATTATGAAGGAAGGTTGTGACGATGGTGGGGAGAGAGCTGGAGGTGAGAGCTTTTTGGGTAAGGGAGAATGTTGTTTGTTTTGGCGGTGGTGGTGGTGTTGGAGCTTTGGGACGCCGGGTCGGATCTCCCATTTGAAGGGGACGGCGCCCGGTTTCTTGAATGACTCGTCGATTTCCACCGTCATCTATCTTGCTTTATGTTCTATGTGACGCCCAATGGTGCTTAGCTTAAGGAAGAGTGTATATATAGAGATGTAGAAGAAGAAGTAGCAATGGAGAAAAAAGAGTGGTAAATTGGTAATGCTATTTTGGTGATGATTTGGTGAATCATTGGAAGAAAGTAAAGCTATGGGGACCCGCCGTCTTTCTGGCGAGATTCAAGGAGGCTAATGTCAAGGCTTTGATGGGAAGGCCCTCCACAAACCGCAACTCACTCTAGACTTTTCGTTCCAAAGATGATTTGGGATAACATTTTCATAGTTGTTAATATAATGGAAAGTAAGGGAAGCTCCTGTCACACCCACCTAGTCATTCACACTATTCAGACGATTGCAAAGATCAAATGTTTTATGGCGCAACCGTGAAAAGTAAGATTAGAATTCTGTTTATCGAGAAGTCAATTTTGACTTCGAGATATTCTCTACCTATGGGATTGAGTAACCCGTTTTATAAATGAATAAATGTTTGGGCTCCCTTTAAATGCTTTCATATTCTATGTAAAAAATCAGTTTTGATCATGCACATTGCTTAGCAGATGACGCGTACTTTGACAGTTCCGATATTGTAGTAACTAGTATGACTATGCAATTTACAAGCCCTCGTGACTTCATGTGTTCGAGTCCTCGTACCTTCCTATTTTTAATTTCCGATTGCTTCTCGCAGATAGGAAATCAAAAAATGTTTGAGAAACAAGAAGGGATAAGCAAGTAGCCGTAGCATGCAGGCGAGACTTTTCTAACTTCCCACAAAGGGAGAGTAGCTATTAACAAATGAACTAATTGAAGACTATTCAGGTGCTTAGTTTCAAACATAGCCGCGAATAGATTACGGCCATCTTCGTCAAGCCATAGTCCATAGATCCACACCTAAATAGGGGTGGTAAGGGAGGCGAACTGGTGACCATGAGGTCCCAGGTTCGATCCTGACCGCCACCATGGTGTTCCCAGAGGCATCCCGCTATCACCCGGAACGCCGGTGAAGGTCTCAGGGTTTAGCCCGACTACAGCATCACCAACACCGTGGAGGGTGTTCCCCGTTATAAAAAAAAATAGGGGTAGAAATAGTGCTTTCGGAATAATTAGCCTTAGATCATCGCTAGCATGTCAAAAAAATGTACTAACTAGTAACTAGTGCTGCTGATGTAAGAATGTCACGCGCCAAAAGGGAAACCATACACTGAACAAAAAAAACAAAATTTCCCAGGACCCATGGCAGAAGTAGCTAATCCGAGATGCGAATGATGGCGGATTTTTACTCGATGTTTGTCTCTGTGAGGATCCAAACAAATCAACACCCACTCATGTCTGTTTACCTTGCGCTGCCTGTAATGATGTTAACGTGAACCCAACAGTTTCGGAAACATCCAAATCATTCCAAGAACTCCACTCGCTGTGGTTGGCCAGTCAAACACAAAAAACATATCATTTTGGCAAATCAAAATCTATTCTTGTTCCGCCCCACTAGTTTGAAGATAATCAATCAAGTGGAGGGAAGCAACAATACTGAGGATTCTTCAATACGCAGTCATGTGCTGATTAGGACTCGATACGGTGTTCATCTTCAAGCTCAAAACATCATACTAAGGACTGTTCTCGTGAATGCTCTACATACATTTTAGATTATATTAGAGGGCAAGATCATTACCTAACACTCGTAAGTGAACTCTTCCGGCATATTGTGGAGTGCTTTAATGATGTTGCTAGCAATGTCTAGCAGCTGCAGGTACTCATCAGCGCCATCTACCAGACACTGCAAAAAAACACATGAGAGAGCGCACAATACGTGAGGCTCCATTTTCGACATGCTGGAACACATTCATAAGCAAGAAACTTTCCAGGGGTAAAACAACACGAGTTTCAGGAAATTCCAGTGAGTAGACAAGTAATTTCAGCTGTTATAGAATATAGCATTGGCAACTATAGCATAGTGAGTCCCACCACGATTCCTCTTTCTTATTATGCAACTTGGACTAGGAGCAGAAAATAACCTTATCCACTGAGCCCATATTCTTGCATATGCGAGCCTTCTGTTCATCTGAGATATCATCAGCTTCGACCACCACATCGAATAACTAAGGCAAGAATATATTCATCAGTAATCAGAATTATATCTAATAGGTACGAAAGACATGTGCCACAAGAGATGAAGAAGAAAATTTACCTGGGAAACCATCTGAGAGACTGGGTACCCATCAGAAATTACATTATTCACTTCTTTATTCGCCTTATCAAAGTTGCCACTTTTACAAGCTGCGAAAAATGACTCAACAACACTTTGGGGAACAACCTGACCAAAGACAAACGCAAAGCCAAGTATCTTAGTATGTACTACCCTGCATTACCACAGTTGAAATTAACAAGCATGACAAAACCACTACATCAAAGTGAACCAAATAGTGACATTGGTGGAGATGCAACAACACCATCCAATGTTCAGAAAGGATAAAGATTTTATCTTCTAAAAGAAATGCAGCATGATATTAATTGACTCGAACCACTTGACTTGCTAAGCCTGGTCAATCAGACATATTACTCTTGAGGGAAAAAGACCACGACAACAGCTTTAATCAAAATCCTCCTGGCACATCTTTATCAGGCACAGCAATAAATATCAGATTTGTTCAACACATAGTGTGCTTGTTTGGACCAGCAGAACGTAAAAGGCTAATCAAAAATGGAAAAGAAAGGAGCCCCAGGTTGCAGTTTTAAAAGGAGGACACCAGAAACAGGCCCAAGTTTTGTAATGGTAACCAAAGCAGAGCTGAGCTAATGCATAAGTTTCTTGAACAGCTGAACAAAGTTGAGGTTTTAGAGAAATAGTGATATTGATCACATCTATTACAGGGCAACTCTTTCTGAACAACTTCCACATTGGCATATTGCCCAAGACATTCATTGTATGACTTACCCCAGAGACGTTAATCAGGTCGTTAGATGAAATCGATGACCCATACAAGCGAGCTGCTCCCTGCCATTTATCATGGGGAAACATTGCACTATATTAGGAGAGCTGGTCACTCAGCACATAAAGTTTGAATTTGAAGAGTACAGAGTACTTTAGAAAGAATATGAACATTGTTGAAATACAAAATTGAACATTGAAACATATAAACACCCACACCGGCATAATCAAGCAAATGTAAAACCCAAGAGAACACTGAACATCTAATCTAGAAGGTTATTATAATGTATCATAACATCTCTACAATGCAGAATCACGACCAGAACCGTCTGTATCTCAATCCCCCCCCCCCCCCCAAAGCCATTTATTGCCTACAAAAGCGAGCTCCTATACTATTGGTAATCAGATCCCGATGCAATAAAATTTCAATCTGCAGCTCCTTGAATTTATGACGCAGAACAGATCCGAGGGACGGCCAGAACAAGTTCACTATATAAACAATACTGGGTCAAGGCTCGAGGATCAAGTTCTTATGCGTACTCCAAGCGGAAGGACATGCATCCTTACAAGGGAAACTATCAGTATTTAAAATCAGTTACTATCCGAGTATGTTACTGAATTCCAGGAATCCCTAACTATTTTAAATTGATATGATCGCTTGTCTAAGTTGCCATATGATTGCAGATAAGCTCTCAGGTGCAGATTATGAGGGATTAACATGGTTCAGAAAATTACAATGGACGATAATCAAACAATCATAATCACTTAACAGAAACTATGAATATTTCTTACTTGCAAGTATGTGATTGCCCGACGAAGATCTCCTTGTGATATGGTGCCCAAGGTTGAAACAGCCTATTCATGGTGCGCCATACGTTTGTTTACATTTCATAAATTTGCCAAAACTGGTACGAATGAGACTACACTGACTTGAAATCATCATTACCTCGTCATCAAGATAGATACCTTCCTCCTTACAGATGTGCAGTATACGGCTACTCATAATTTCTTCTGAAAGTGGCTTGAACCTGAATTTTGCACACCTCGACGCAAGGGGCTCGATTATCCTACACAAATTGAAACGAACTGCCATAAAATCCAACATCTAGTTTACTTATCAAGTCAGTTAGTACGTTGACCAAATGCAAACGGCACGGCTTCTCCACGTATACCTGTTAAGTGTGGACAAAACTCTACACCAGCTGGTAGCTACCCATGGTCAGGTATCTTTGAGTGTTAGTCTAACAAATGTTCTTTGAAATTTAATATTGAATTTGTTGTCTATTTAGTTGTAGAAAACCTCAATTCTATCAGATCGGAGAAGAAAGTGGTCATGGTTCAGATGGGAAAATTTTATCCAGGAACACTAATTTTTAACACACATGATGGCACAACCAGTTCATTAGATGAAGATTGCGGTTTGGAAAATAGAGTCTTTTTCCTCTCTATTACCCCTATGTAGATGCTACATTAGTTGAACATTAAGCTGATCAACACCAGAGTGACTAATTAAGCCAAGTATGAAAGCTGTACCTGCTTATGTAATTGCATATGAAGAAGAATCTTGTAACTTTAGAATAAGTCTCCATCGTACGCCTCAATGCATTCTGTAACAAAGATGCTAAGCTTCATGACATTGAACTTACGGTGATAAGAAAAAAGAGAAATCAAAAGAGAGCAAAATGGAACATGCCTGGGCGTCTTCTGTCATTGAATCTGCCTCATCTAGGATAATAATCTTGAATGGTGGACACGGATAATTCCTACAAAGGACATAGAAATTAAGAAACACTATAGTTTGTCAAAATAAAAACAAAAACAAAAAAAGCAATGCATACCCATGATGTGGTCTAGTATCCACAGCTACAGCAGCAAAATCCTTGATCTTAGTCCGGACAACATTGATTCCACGGTCATCACTAGCATTGAGCTCCAGAACACGTGACTTGTAGTGCTCGGGCCTTAAAACAAAGGCATTTAATCAGAGAACATTCACTTACAGATCAATAATACGACGCCCTAACTGTATTTCGCACAGAACCAATTTGCCAGAGCCTGATGAATAAAGAATACTACGTTGGAAACACATTAAATTCAAAAAGTATCTCAATTCATCAGCATTCACTCCACCTAGCAACAAACTTACATGTTCATACTCTATTCCTAGTTCCTCCATACAAGTGGAAAAGCACAGCATTAGTTGTCCCATTTACTTGCTCCAAAAGAAGGGAAATAAGCAAAAAGAGAAACAACCGCTATCCAAACAAGAGCAAACTAAGTAGAATTTAGGAAGTACCCAAAGAGCTGGTGAGCAATGGCCAATGCAGTTGTGGTTTTCCCGGTTCCAGGAGGTCCATAAAAGAGCATATGCGGGCACTAGAGAGAACCAACAAGCAACAACAAGATAACTCCATGACTAACAGAATCGCAGCAAACTAACTGCCGAACTAATCACTAAGTAGTACAGTCTATAATTAGGTTTCCAAAGAACCCAAAAATTATCAAACAGATCATATTGAAGAACACAACTCACGCTTGAAGTCTCGAGCGTGTTCGTGAGAACCCGCACCACTTCATCCTGATGAGCTACGTCTTTCACTTGCTTCGGCCGACTAAACCCCAAATGCCAACCCACAAACCCAACAAGCAACCAACCAGGCAAAAAGAAAATAGTAAGAAATTAAGCAAAATTTTCAAAATTCGACAGAGGAGATGAAAGGAAGCTCACTATTTTTCAACCCAGGGTTGAGAGCTCTGCAAAACTGGCGCCATGGTTTTTTCTTCGCTTCTCTCGCTGCCGAGCTCGGTGCTTGGTTTGGCTCTGCTGCGTGTGAAGAGTTTCCAGGTTGCAGCCTGCAGGGCAAAACTGAAATTCCCTTTCTGCCTTTTCCCGCTTATCACTCTGGGCCTAAGATGGGCTATGAAACGGATAAATGGGCCGATCTGCAACGCGTAGCACATTGGCCTAAACTAGAGCACATAATACGAAAAAGGTTTGGTCCAACAGTTCCACGAGGTTAAAGTTTGATTCTTAGAGCATCTCCAAAGTGCAATTCTAGAGACTTGCAAGTTTATGTGGCATGGAATTCCAATTGCAACTTCAAATGGCATTGATGTAGAGAGTTATTGCAAGAGTGCAAATTTGCATCACGTGCAATTTTTGTTGCAATTTAAATGGGCTCGCTGGTGAACTCTTTTTTATTATTTATTATATATATATACTTTGAAGGTTTTAAATGAAGGAGATGATATATATATTGTTTAGTGGTATTAATTTAAGGGGTTGGTCTCACCCTTTGAAATTGCTATTGGATTTTGTTGTTGTAAGGGGGATGAAATTCAAATCAAAATTTTAGAGATGAAAGTAGGGACCACTTATGAAATTGCAAATGAATTTTATTGTTGGAGATGTACTAAGAAATTAAACAAGGACGCTTAGCACATTGACCTAAACTAGCGGCCATAACCCATCTTCCTCATCTGTCGCCGTTGTTCAAAGCCTCATCGAACAGAGGGAGAAACGAGTCTCTGCCTCTCCCGCAGAAGATTGAGAAATCCTATAATTACAGAAAAAATATGTTTCAAATTTAGAGAAGGAGAATCGAGTTTCTATCTCTCCCTCCGTGGCCACCAATTTTGGAGATCCCGTCAGCATTTGGACGACTTGCTTGAAAGAAGAGGTGTCAGCCTGCTATTATATCATTTTTCACTTAGCATTGTCATAAGTTTAATAAAAGAACGCTTACTAATTTTGGCTCATCATGATTAGATTCACATCATAAAAAAATGAAAATCTACCAGAAAGACAACCCAAACTTCTTTCTTTCAAAAAAGAAAATTTGAACACTCTATACTATGATTTTTATAGGAAGAAGACACTTAGTACCTCACAAAAACCGAAATTAATAGAAACCATGATTGTTCAAACACTATCCAATTGCACCCGTCCATAAGTCGCAGACATTGCTTAGAGCCTCCACTCATAAGTGCCACAAACCCCGAGATCTTCCTCTACAATTTGTCTGATCTAGAATGTTTGACATTTTGACGGAAGAGAGGATGATAATCTAGTTCAAAATGTTTTTGAAAATATGTGACTTTATACGGAACCAAGACGTCTCACCAGAGGCCATCGGACTACTATCTTTTTTTCTTTCTCCCTCAATTGATGAGCAAATGTGTGGCTCATGTCGTCGTGCATTCATAGAGCAATTCTTTCATCCATGGAGGATATGTAATCTTAAGATAAGATTTTGCACTTTAGACAACAAACTTTTGAGCCAGTTCAAAATGCCTGTCTTAGATTTAGGAGGTTCTGCAAGCCTGCCCTCACATCATTTTGGGCAGAAATCTTTGGTCGATCGTCTTTTCGCGAGCGACTGGAAGTAAACACTACTATTTTGGTTAACCGCTCAACCGATGGAGATATTACACATCTCATTACAAAAGCTCATCTTGAGCACTTCACTACCATTACTGCAAAAATCTAAAACTTGGTCTAGGAGAACTGTCCTATATCAAACAAAACATCACAAACATACAATGATGCAGTTTATTATATGCTCATACAAATGGAAGAACTGTCTACACAACCCTTTGGGAAGAGACTGCATAAATGTAGGTGGAATGAAAATCCTATCTTTATCTTCGTTGGTCAAAACTATCAACAAAATGTTAAAAGGAAATTCTCCCATTACCTTAAGTTCATGCTTTCTCCTGAGGAGGATTCAATGTTCCCAATAACTTATTTTCAAACATAACTCAAGGGCATTTTCCAACCTCCCTTATTCTATTACCGTCTCCCATGAAAATAAAAATACAAAATTGTTATATGAAGTTGGCATGTAACATGTAAGTGATTAAGCAATTTAGTTTTCTAAACACGGTAAAAAAATGTGGCACAAATATTTTTTATTCATTCTCCTGCAATCGGAAAAGAACAAGACATAGGATATATTCTCGAGAAAGAAAAGAAAATTGTCCCTTCAACAACGTTAGCTGGCTAGAATTTAGACAACTACTAAGTACGTACTCCTAAACTTAGTAACGACTAATTAATTCCGCAGTTCTTGTCCTTGGAAATCATACGAGCTGGATAAGTAATGACGATGATCACCTTCTTTTGGCTCACATTTGTAGAAGCAATGTTCTAAGCATTTCTTCGCTCCGGCTAATTTGCATGAATGCACAACACATTCATAGTAACACTTGAAGAAATTGAGTTTGGCTTGGCAGGTAGGTGGTTGAGTCATCACCAGCAACATCACAACAGCAATGGCCATAAACGACTTCCATGGTGCAATTGGCTTCATGATTGAGATCAATTAGCTTTGAGTGATATATTGATGAGCTCCAATATGCAATTTCTGATCTCCTCTTTGTTTAGGATGTGGTTTTGATTATTAAGCACATAGTCATGTTTTTATAGTGATAATCATGAATCACATATAAGCGTAAGGATCATATATAACAACTTTGTCCGCATTTTCCTTGTTATTATCTTTAGTTTTTTTATTAATTATGCGATTTACGTTCAAAATAATTAGTAATTTGCTTGACCTGTTCTATAAGTACTAACTGTTTAGATATTTTGATGGTTAATCATGTTGATCGAAATTTAACATACATATTTAACACATATCCTAAATTTAGTGCTTTCTTTAATTTCTAAATAATATACTAAATTTAGTCAATTAGAACTTTTTTCACCTATATTTAAGATTTATGAATGGATCGTGCATCTTGTTTTCTTATTTGAGGAAAAGCTTAATTTATTTTACATATAGAAGAAAGAAAATTCTTAAACGGGTAATGCGTTCATAAGTCCACAACTCATCACTTGTTAAGAATATTCCTAAAAAAAATACTTGTTAAGTTTCTTACGTATTTTGTGGGGAAAAACGGATTCAAGAGTCAAAAGGAAAGAATAATGGAGGCAAAATTGTAGTCGATAGAGGTGTAGATTGCAAGTTTTATTTGTGTATTTATTAATATCTCATTGTAAAAAAATTGTATCTAAAAAATTTAAAAGTTTTATAATATTTATAGCAAACTAAAATAATAATTATATTTATAAGTTAATGTGTTTAATGTTTTTTTCTTAAGATATAGTACACAATGCTTTCTAGATTGATACAATCACATTACTTACACATACGCATCGACTAAATGCATTATTTGTTTATTCAAAAAGGATGGTGCCAAATCAGTAGAGCTTATGAATTTGAAAAATTCACAAAAATAGGTGAATTTGAAAAATTAATAAAATTGGTCAGGCATTCTGGGTTTAGAGAGGGTTTTCTTCTTGTTAGATACCTCGGACTGCCCTTAACAGTAGGGAAACTCTCTTCAGACGGCTGTAAGACATTAATAGAGAAAATTACAAGTAAAATCCAGGGGTGGCAACCGAATCTTCTTTCTTATGCACGAAAATTGGAATTAGTGATTGTTGTCCTGGCCAGCATGACGCAATTCTGGATGAATGTTATTTTACTTCCTAAGAAGGTACGTAATAAGGGAAATCGAGAGACTCTGATCCCAGTTTCTTTGGGGTGATATGGAGAAGAAGAAGAGGGCTAAGGTTTCCTTGAAGATTGTTGCTCTTCCTCGAAGTGAGGGTGGATTAGGATTTAAAGATCTCTGCTCATGGAATATAGCATGTCTTGCAAGGCATTTATTTGGAGTACTTTCTGACCAAGAGATTCTCTGGATAGCATGGCTGAAAGAATACAGGCTTCGTAATGTTAGCGTATGGGAAGTGCAGACAGGTGGCTCGTGGGTATAGAAGAAGATTTTGAAGTTGCGAGGTTTGTTTGAAGGGAAAATGATTTTGTCGACTTGACGAGTCGAATGGGATGGAGCTCTGATGAGCGAATTCAGTACAAGCAGGATATGGCAAAGTATTAGACCTCGGCAGGAAGAAGTAGAGTGGGCCAAACTAGTCTGGAAGCAGGGGATTTCTAAGAACTCGTTGTTAACGTGGTTGGTTCTTATAGGTCGGGTTACCACCCTGGATAAAGTGGGAAAATTGTGCCCTACAGTGCTTAATATGTGTCCTCTTTGTGGAATGTCAGTAGAAACAAGGGAGCATATCTATTTCTCGTGTCTCTATGTGCAGGAGCTTTGGAGAATTGTTTTACCAGTCATATGGCAATCTCCCCTGCAAGTTGACCTGTATCAGACAGTGCGGAAGCAACTCGAAAGTTGGGGAAGTGTAGAGTGGGGCGTGTCCTTTGGTGTTTACTGATGAGTGAAGTATGGCGGGAAAGATGCAGGCGACTTTGTGGGAACAAAGCAATGTCAGTGGAAGCTTTAGTGGTGAAGATGCAAGGGGTAATGCAAGTCAAGGAACAAGGTGATCAGTTGTTTGCATATGATGCACTAGGCCGAGATGTGTGGTACAAAAGGCAGAATCACTAGTGCTTGTCTTGATGTTGTCCTAGGTTGTTTGTTTAGGATTGACTGAATAGTCAGGTTGTTTGTTTGATTCTTCTCATGGTTGAAGAGTCTGTTTTTTATTAGGCCAAGGCATGTACGAGTTAATGTATAAATGATTGTACAGATTGTATTGGATGAATAAGATTACCACCCATTCATTGAATAAAAGAAAACTTAATAAAATTCTTGATATTTAATGACTAATCTGCCACTAATTTTCTTATATTCCAACTTTTAGGGGTGGTAAGTTGATTTCATTTCTAACCCTCCAAATCCAATTCAATAAAATCATCGTCAAATCTAAAACAAAAAACAATAAATAATGTTCTGAAATCCCTAGTGAACAAACTCCACTGCCAATTGTTCATTTTCCAAATTCAAAGCTTTTGGAACCAATAGACAACGGGTTAATTGTATGGTTGGTCACTGAGATTACAAAAAACGTTCATATTTGGTCACTGGAAATATTTAAATTCAATCATGGTCACTCAAATTAGTTAAACATTCCAAGTTTGGTCACTCTC